CCAGAGAGAGAGAGAGAGAGAGAGAGAGAGAGAGAGAGAGAGAGATCTCACAGTATGACAGCTATTCACAATATTAGAAAAGATCTACACTGGAGCAATACAACTCTAGAGATTAATATGTTGAGAAGTATCAGTGCTATTCTCTCTGCTATTATCTGTTCATTTCCTCCCAAGGACAGAATACCAGCTGGGCTTGGCCCAAATCTTTTTGCATGTGGCTCATGATACGCTGGCATTCCTATAACCACTCTGTAATCTGCTTCCTGAAGCCAGGAAGGTCACTTATTTAACCCCATCAATGTGTTTCCTTTGGACCTACTTCTGCAAACTGCAGATATAATACTGAGCAAAGAAAAAGAGGACAGCTTATTCCCTGAGCACACTTCTGCTAGACTTCTGGTACACAGCTTATGGTTTTGCCTGATGTTCTAAATATGATAAATCTTCATGGTTTTTACCACTGACTTCCCTCAATAACTACTTTAAAATACCAGTGAAGGCAAAACCAGACTGATCCAGACCCTGTTATACTTATTGATCTTCATATAACAGACTGAATACCGATCTTTCCTTATCTTTCAAGTCAGTTTTTCAAAATTTAAATATACAAAAACTAAGTGTTATTCATTCTTTAATGTTTAGGAAAATGTTTATTTAACACAGTTAAGAAAGGCTTCTTAAGTGGAGTTGGGAGGTTGTAACTTGGGAGAGGCATATGGAGGTCTTGCATAATGTATAGGAATTTTCTTAGGTGATGGATTATGAGTTTTATTATTACTGGTCTTTAAACTGTATATATATTTTATATACTCTTTGATCTGTATATTAATAATCAGAAAGAAATCAATATCATCTATGCCAATGAAAATATATGTGTAGCAAATATCAACAAAATCCAAATTATATTTTTGCTTTTTATTTAATAGTAGGTTTCAAGAATAAAGCAAGCCCTTACTTGTCGAAGGTATAACTTTAAAACGTCACAGATGTCATGTGAACTAAATTCTGACATGTCTACCAAGTGCATTCCATTTTCCAAAGCTTGACACAGTTTTTCAATTTTTAACTTGCTTCCACAAACACGATAAATTCCCTTGAACAGAAAAGGAAAAAAATCTGCTTTAGTACAAATGGCTAAAGGCAGTTATCTAAACATATCTGACGTACTTCAACTTTCATTGGTATCTTAGAAAAAACTGGTCAGGGCCAAATGAATTAACATTTTCCAGAGAAATTTGAATACATTTAGTCATTACAAATTGAGAGTATTTTTTTCCTTTAAAGCCTCCTTTTCATTAGAAACAATATCACTCAGGCATTCATATTTTTAAAATTTTAAGTTATACTGTACCTGTAAAGACAACGCTCTATTTTCAATCTCTGAGACACATATTTTGAGTATAAAAGGAATGCCATCTGCTTCCTTTTTTGCAACTTGTATGAATTCTGCTCCAAATATGTGCATTTTCCCTGGAAGTTTCTGATGACCACAAATGATCATTAAATTTTCCAAACACTTTTTATGGCAAACAAGGAAACACTACAAGAGAATGATAGTTTAAAACTAGTTAGCTCACCTTGAAACTATTCACAACTGGGCAAAATATAGCTAGACCAGTAATAGAAAAAATCAATGTAAGAAGTACTGGTAGCAGTGCCTGAAACATTTAAAAACTAAAACGAAGTACAAAATTATAGTGGATATACTGGTAGTATAATTTATTAAAAATATATTTGTTATAGATCCTAATAAGTAAAACCATAACAAAAAATGTAGTAAAAAAAGGAAGGGGGCCAAGGCAACTGCAAAAAGATCTTACCTCTTCACATTCAACACCTTGGAATACTACAATGCCTTCACAATCCCTGCATTTTGTGGGTGATCTTAATTTGCGAAACTTGTGAGTGACAGCTGCCTTTGACATCAATGTTTTCTTAAATATTCCAAGAGAACTGGGTCCTTACAACAGAAATGTTAGTATGTAAGAATGGTAAGATGACAAAAAATTATACATATTGTATTTTGATTAATCTTTAGACTTTGCAATCATCCATGTATAAATAAAAAGCTGTTCTAAATTTCTAACATCAAAATAAACATCTAATTTATAGATATCTTATAAACCATAGACTTTTAACAAAATTTTAGCCATGAGTAAAAGTGACCACCAAACCAATAAGATAATTCTAAGATATCACAGCATAATGTTTCCAGAAACAGCAAACTTCTTTTCTTATTAAGAATATGCCCTGTATAGAATTAAGAAGTTTGTTCATGGGTGGCATTATAGTTTTAGGACTAAGATCCTTTAAATGCTCTAAAGAAAAATAGTGATATGAGGCCAGTGTGTAACCATTATTTGCATTAAGAACAAAGCTATTCTTAATTCACTATAAAATTACAAATAATACTTGTGGATTATATTTCAGTATCATATTGGAGGTCAGACATTCCATTAACTTAATAAATTATGATAAATCAGGTATCTGGAGGTATCAAATGTACAAAACTAGTCTATCTGACTTTAATTCAAGTCATTAAGGTAACTGACTTCACTTTTACATTTTTTTCAACATCCACAACTTTCCTTGTTTTTGAGAAGTACACTTGTCTGCTTTTCCTGCTTTACTCTGCACACTGTTTCTTTAGAAGTTTTTTTAAGAATTTCTGATACCCTGCCACCCTTTTAACAGCAAGTAACTGCTACTGGGTTTAGGAAAGAGTATTTATCTGGTCTGCTATTTTCACACCAAGTCAATACATTTTAAATTTAATAATTTTATTGGCTATTCTTGTATTTGTATGTTAATCAACTCATTTGAACATAATTATCAACTCATTTGAACATAATTATACGGCTATGTTTAAGTTACTGTGATAACTTTTATTTAATATACAGCAAAACAGTGGGTCTTTAAAATTACAGTGTTTTTCCAATATCATGCACTGCTACTCCTTCAGCTAGCTGGTCTAATGGGTGTTAATTCAGGTAAATACTATACCAGCTTCTGAAGGGGAAGGTGGCTCTCTTTCATCTAGATCATCCGCAGAAGACATAGTTCCACTGGATGGAGTTCGTGGAAGTTTTCGATGAAAGTCTCCTAAAAGAAAATTGTGATTCCATTACCCGACTATTCTTTGTAGAATATTAAAAATAGGTAAAGACAACATTTTTGGAATTATACAAGCCATACTATTTTATTAGCTTTGATGTCAACATTTGTTTCCATTCTTATACTTATGATAACAAGGAATTCTGATACTCATCCCTGGGAATGAAAGGAATTTAATCACATATGACCTTTCCAAATAAATTTAAAGCTTGGGATCATATTTCTAATGAGAACTTACTGCCAATTTCTGACAGTATTAGAAACTGTAATCTGTACAAAGACACATAATATTATCTATTCATGTCAGATATCTAATATCGTACAAAGTGGCAAGCACAATAGTAAAGCTGGCAATAAATGTTGAGTTCTTATAAATAAATCTATACAATACAATCTAAAGCCTTTTAAAATACACAAAAATCTTTGACTCCTACATCAACTGACATACTAGGAAGACAGGAGATGAGAACCAAGAACAATAGCACAGTGATTCCCATGCGGGAGCTAAAACTACAGGATAAATCTATGTCAGCAAAGGGCACTGCTGTGTGAATCAACATATTTGGAAACAGCCCAACTAGAAATGAGGTTTATTTACTATGCTGAAATTACAAACATGTCTATATGTAATTAAGGACTCATTTTAATTCAGGACCTTAACAGCTTGCGCTTCAGAGTTAGTAACACTGTTTACAAAGAATTTTAAATATTGTCTCCCCAAAATAATTTTTCTTTATATCACCTAAAGGTGATTGCCTGGTTTTTGCTTTAAATTTGTTCCCAATAATTGAGAAATCACAAGGTCACATGCTCCATTTTAAAGCTATTCTAAATCAGCTACCTTTTATTATTGAGCAGACATCCACCTCCATGTGAATCCCAGCCTTTGGTCACATTTTTCTCAAAGGAGCAAATGAGCACTCTATCTCATATCCCTTTTCACTTCCTGTATTTGAGGAAGGCTGTCGTGGGCTCAAGTTTCCTCTTTTCCAGGAGAAACACTCTCCCGGTCTTACTCACTTATCATGTGATCTGGCCCCCAAATTTGTATCTTCATCACATGACACCTACAGGATCCCAAATAACTTAGGGCCTGTTTTAGACTGTGTCTTAATTTTTGGTGTTAGCTAGAATTATTTTGCTTTTTATAAAGCTAACTACAAATATTTTGTTAAAATTTAGGCTCGTATCTTCAAGGACTTCCTTAAACAGTGTTAACGTTAAAGGAGATGGCAAAGTGGCAGATGATAATCAGTCTACAAATCCCAGTGCTGCGTGGAAAAAATTTCTTCCTTTATTCACTGCCTTGGAATTTGATAGGTTAAAATTCTATGACATATCTTCCAAGATCCTTGGAGCAGGGAACATAGCCAGATAGCAAAGGAATGGAGCAGCATTTGGTAAGGGAATGAAGAAAGAATGTGGAAATGAGAATCATATGGGTTCAAATCTTAACTTCTGCTAGCTGTATAACCAATGGCAAACTATCAGTTAACCTCTTTAAACCTACTAGGGGAGACTTCAAAACACTCTGCATCTCTGAGGATTTTGAGACAATTTATATCAAATATCTTGAAATATATTTATAAAATTTAATAATAAGGAATAAGCACAAGCAAGAGCATAATGCAATATTTTCATTATAGTAATTAATTACAAAACAACCAAAAGTTTGATAATGTTATTTTGCTTCATAGACTAAACAGTAGTGAAATTAAAGGCAGCTATTTATATCAACATGAATCTCAAAATGGATGGGGTGCATACATGAATGAAAAACAAATCATACATGAATGAAATCATAAACAGAAAAATCTGCTTCCATTATATAAGCTCCAGATATGGGCAAAACCCCCATTACCTACAGGTACTAAAACATTTAAGATATCTATGAATGACAAAAACTCAGGATAATAATTTTATCAAGAAGGTATATATAAGGGGCTAATAATGGACTAATGGACTAATAAATGTTCTACTTCTTAGGCTGGGGGGTGACTATTTGAGAATTTGTTTCATTTCTTTACATTGTACATATATAGATATATTCTAGGTGGTTAAAAAACATCCCCTCAAAATGATTATTTTAGTCTTTCATTGAACTTTTACTAGAGACTTAAATATTTATGTACCTGGACTTATAGATTCTGAATCCAGAGATCTAGATTCGCTGCTTCCTCCAGTACTCTCAGAATCACTGACCACCCCAAATGTCCATGATCTTATGAAAGAAGGACCTTTAAGAAAAAAATATTTAAAGTAAAAACTTGGCTGCAGATGGATTTCATAAGGTAAAATACTGACATTAATAAAAATGAGACAATTCCTTTAACAAAGACCAGTTATGGACTTTATGAGGCATGGTGGTTACAGCTATGAATAAGCCTCTAAACATTACAATCCACAAAGCCTGATTTTCCAATTCCAAAGCTCTAGTTTATTTAGTAAGCACACATGAACAAACTGCTTTTATAAACAAGTGTTCACTTTCATGTGAAAACTACCTGATGTGTCTGCACTGTTAGAGCATCTGTCCTCTTCAATTTTATTACAACTGTCAGAAAGGCATACAACATCCTCCAAAGAGTCAGGTCTGTATGCAGATGTTAATTGTTTATTTACATTCCTAAGAAAAAACAAAGCTCATCACTGATATTCAATCTATTCCATATTCAGAAATATTTATTATATGAATTTATAATAATTTAAACATTAAGAATGAACTATATTACATGGCTTAGCTTCTTTTGGATGTGACTAAAATTTTTAAATTATTTGTACTTATTACAGATGAAACATGGAAAGAAGTAGCAATAGTACAGTCTGTAATTCATATCCTGGTTAAAACTGAGATCAGTGTCAAAATGGAAAGCTTTCCTCGCAAGGGAATTATATTTATTCCTTAAAGTTACTAAGAAATAATATAAATGATAATAAATAATATAAATAATATAAATTACTACAAAATAATATAAAAATATTCAGAAAATACTAATGTTAATTATGCCAATGTTAGAAAAGATACTACCCTGTATCAGACAAGAACTTAGCAAATGTTTTTATCTTTTGAAATAACTTCATCTATATATTAGTTCTCACCCATCAACTTTTTCTTCAGTTGAATTTGTAGCTTTGACAAATTCACTGTATGCCTGTCCTGGATCATACAGTTTGGCATTATCACATAGAGATTGTAAACTGTTTGCAAGAGAGGCAACCTGTAGATGCTGCATCTGGAAGACGTTAACTGTTACCTATGGTCACAGACAGAGACAAAAAGCAGAAATAATTCAGAATATACATAATGCTATGAACATGCATATGTTTATTTCAATGACCTCATCAATAAACAGGCCATACAAGAGAATAAATAACACTGAACACCACTGTTGGCAAGCTATGTTACCTAGTATTATTTATGAAAGAGCTAGATTAGAAATAAAATGTATGTATGCATGTATGTGTGTAGTGGCACTAGGTACTGAACCCAGGGTCTTGTATGTGCTGGGCAAGGACTCTATTATTGAGCTATAAAGACCCAAAAGTAACTTTAATCCAATATCCAAGAGTGATCATTTCCAAAAAAACTAGTTTTAAATTGTAAAATTAAAAAATACAACCCCATATCTTTACTGGTTCACAATTTTAGGAGATGGATATATTTTTAAGGATCCCCTGCCTGTACTCAATGATGACCTAAACATAACTGCCTAAACTCTTAAGTAAAAAACATGGAGTAAAAATACCAATGATAGCACTATTATTTTCATTTTATCAATCCTATAAAAATAAAAATCCTGTACTATTTATATTCTGCAGTACCCAGATTTTATAATTAGGTATTATCTTAAAATATATTCGATACATTATTCCATTGAGTTTCTACAAATGCCTAAAAATACTATCATTTCTACAATAACAATAATAGCAGCTTAAAAGTTCATGTAATATGCCAGACCCATTCTCAGAACTTTACATTAATTAATTTGACATTCATGAAAACCTAGGCTTCATTATGTTAGAGCAAACAGATAAGTTTCTGGTCCTTATCCATCTTTATAGTTTCCTGAGGGTGACGTCAGAGGACAAGGTAACAAATCATGTAAGTAAGTTACTTTCTGCCGGTGAAAATCACTGTGAGTACTACATAAGAATGTCAAACTATAGAGAATGATCGTGTATGTTTGTGGAAGTTATTTTCAACATTGCAGGTCAGTGAAGTCTTCTTCACTGACAGCTAACCTTTGAACTGAGACTGGTTGTGAGAAAGAGCTAGTGTAGAGCTTCAGGGAGAAGGCAAATCCAAACAAAAAGAGGAGGAGGTGGTGTGAAAGTGAGTAGAACAGAGCTTGTTCTGCTCAAGAAGCAGATGAAAGTGCTGGTGTGAAAAACTAGAAGTGTAAACAAGGATCAAAATGAGTAACTGATAATGTGAAATAGGAAGCAAAGGTCTAAAGGGGTAGAGGAAGTTAGAGGGGTAGAGGAAAGGAAAGAAGGGAAAGGGAAAATATATGAGAGAATGAAAAAATGGAAACAAACTCTTTGTAAATAGGGAAGGGTAGAGGAGTTGAAGGGACGGCAGGGGAATGCGGAAAAAGTAAGAACCAAGATACATCATGTAAAGGTACAAGTTCCCAATGAAGAATCTGACTGTATTGTATACCTAAAATGTACCAATAAACTTAATGAAAAAAAAAGAAGCAGATCAAAGGTCAATATGGCTGAAATGCACTGAAAGGAACAGCACTTCTATTTTCAGATAAGGCTAGAAAGGGAACCAGTCATTTAAACCATGGTAAACAGTAGTTTGAAGTGAAGTATAATGGGAAGCCAGCAGACTTTCAAGCAAAGCACAATCTGATTCATTTTTTAAAATACCCTTCTGTTTGGTATAGGGACAGGATTTAAGGGCAACAATAAGAATAGATGCCATATTTTGATTAGCTAAATGTTATTTCAAAGACTGGCATGTTTCTTCATCTCTCTTGGTGTATCAGATGACAGGATGAACTTCTGATTAGCCTCTGAGTCTTTTTTCTAAGGATAACTGAGTCAGCATAAATGGCATTTGAAATGTGTACACAAACTAATAACTTACTGATATCCTAATCCTTCAAAGATTAAAGGAAATTCAGATGGTATATGGTACAGTTGAATTCAGTAGCTGGCTGTATCAGGGTATTCTTAGGCTAATAGTAAAGTGAACTTACTTGCTTACTTGAATGAAGGGTGGCCTTGACCAAGATATTTATAATTTCTCTATACTAGTGACTTAAAAAAGTTAATGTTTAAATGAATCACCTGTAAGATTATGTTCAAATGCACATTCTGATTCCAAAAGTCTGGACTGAAATTCAAGATTCTGCATTCCTTACAGGCTCCCAAAGAAATAGCAATGTGAGTGATCCAAAGACCATATTTTGAAAGGAAAGACTCTAAACTTTTGTTTCTGCACAGTAAAATGGAGCTAAAAATAATTACATTTATCTGACAGGTCTTTGTGAGAATTAAGAGTTAATGTAGACAACTTAATAAACTGGCAGGTACATATTCAATCTTAGCTATCACTTATGGTGAATGGGGTTTGTCAGTGGTTGGCTTGTTACTAATTTTAAATCCTGGTGTTTTATAATTCTTTTGTTTTCTAATTAATGTAAAATAATAATGTATTAGTCAAAATTAGGTAAATGAATAGACACAATTTTAAATTTTCAAAATACGTGAAAGGCTTCTGATTCAGAGAAATCTCTATACTGTCTTATGTTGAACTCACTTAGAAACCCCATACAAAATGCACAAATCAACTATATGAGGACTCTTGAAAAATAAATGGTAGCAGGTAGACTACAGAAATAAACCACAATCGAAGGTATGTTTCCATGCCCACAACCCCCATCATATTTTCTAGCTTATGCTCAGCTCTTCCTCAAAGGTAGCTTGATTCCCAGTAGTGTAAACTGTGTATGGACAGAAAGAGCTCCAAGAGAGGTTCTTTATGGCCCAAGCGACAAAAAGGGGGTGAAGCAGGAGATGTGAGTGAGAGTAGAGGAAACCTGTTTTCCTTAATGTGTTTGTTTCCCCTCTTGCCCCAGTCACCAAGCAAGGCCAAATCCCTAAAACACAATCCTGTGGCAGCAGGAATGATGGCAGCTGAACAGGTATCTAAAGCTCTGAAGGAAATCCTCCTTTATGATCAGGTGAATTGTGTTCCAAAGAACAAGAGGTTTGAAATTCTTACTTTTCACAAAATCCTCCCTTCACTTAATAACTAAGAATTGATGCCCCTGGCTTCTTAGAGAGCAGATAGGTACACTTCAGCTTTCCAGCCAATGAACAGGAAGGAAGGACACAGGAGTTGGGTAGTGAACCTAACTAGATCAAATACTGCTAAAACATTTTTTTAAAGAATCAATGTTCAATATAAACAGGATCTAGTCACATAAAGTAATAATACCTAGGATATCATCCAAAATTACTTGCCACACAAAGAACCAGGAAAATCTCTACAAGAGACAGGACAATAAACAGCCACCAAAACTTAGATGACTTAAGATACCAGGGTTATCAGTTGATGATCCTAAAACAGCTATGACAACAATGTCAAAGAGTAAGAGCATACAATCTTGAAATATAGCAAGACAGAGATCTCAGTAGAGCAATCTAAGACATAAAAAAGAAATGAAAGGAAATTTTACTATAGAAAAATAAATATACTGAAGGACTGTATAGAAAAATGGAGATGTCAAAGGAGGAGAACCAGTGATTTGAAGACTAACAGGACAATACAGATGTTTCTCAACTTATCATGGGGTTACATCTCAACAAAACCATTCTACATCAAAAATGTATTTAATACTCTGATAAACCCATTGTAAAGTAAAAAAAATCTTAGGTTAAACCATCCTAAATTGGGGACAATTTGTATAAACCAAGAGAAGAAAAACCATGGAAAGAAAAATCATTGATGTCTTGAGAGAATAAAATAAAGCCTAACATTTGAATCATTGAGTCTTAGAGGCAGGGGGGAAAGAAAATGCTACAAAAAATTAAAAAGAAAAGAAAAACAACAGCTCAAAACTCAAATTTTGTAGGATTTAAACTTGTAAGTTCAAGTTCAATAAATATAAAATAAGGGGGGAAAAAAGAGCAAAATCCCTGCTCAGATACATATTAACCAAACTGCTGAAAAGTAAACACACACACACACACACACACACACACACACACACACACACACACAAGGGAAAGGAAATCTTGAAAGTAGCCAAAGAAAAGCAACAAATACCACATACGGGGACAATGATTCAAATGACTATGGACTTTTCACAATAAACTATGAAGGCCAGAAGGCACTGGAACAGTATTTTTAAAGCAGTAAAAAAACAAAAACAAAGTTAATTTCTGTATTTAAAATTCTATATGTGGTGAAAACGTTCTTCAAGATTAAGGAGGAAATAACACTCTCAAAGGCAGGACAATGAAGAGAGTTTGTTTCCAGGAACCCAGCTATAAAACAAATGGTAAAGGAAGTTCTATTTACGAAATGAAAATGTTACCAGACAAAAGATGGAACTTCAGGAATGAAAGGAAAATGAACAGATATGGAAAATACCTGGGTGAATATAATAGACCACTTTTTCTCCTCTTACCTTCTTCATAATATGTATGACTTTAAAAGCAAAAATTATAAGATGGTCTAGTGGTTTTCAATGTATAATAAGCTTATATCAATCAGATAAAGAGACTTAAATGGTGGTTTCTACATTCCACTTCAAGTTGTGAGATACTAGTCCTCAGTGGACCATGAAAAATCAAGTGTGCACAAGGACCCGAGTTCAATCCCCGGTACCAAAAAAAAAAAAAAAAAATCAAGTGTAGTATCCCTTGGAATCTGTTTAGGTTTAGTTCAAAGACAAAGCACAGATTCTCAAATTGCTGATATTCAAGGTCCTTATATAAAATGGCATAGTAGTTGCATATAACCTACACATATAATATACTCCTGTATACTTAAGTAATTTCTAGAGTTATAATATCTAATACAATGCAAATACTACACAGTTGTTATACTATATTATTTAAGAAATAATGACAGAAAAAAGACTTTACATGTTCAATAGATGCAATCTTTTCAATTTGCTGTTGCCTGAACCCATGGATGTGGAATCCATCTGTACAAAGGGTCAACTATTATGTATGTGTATGGCAATTCTTAGTTTAACCAATTTAAAAATATACATATACAGAGATAATT